CTGGTCAATAATTGACTCTGGCCCCTTTATTAGCCTTCTGTTAGCAGAAAGATTAGAGAGGGGATCTGCTGCTGAGCGCCTCCTCTTTCATTAGAGACCAGGAACTGCACAGACCCCGAGCCCTGTGTGTGTGTGTGTGTGTGTTGGTGTGTAGCGTGTGCTCGTGTGTGAGTGTGTGACGGTCGTGTGCTGAGTGTGTGTGTGAGGTGGCAGCTGTGTCGCCAGTGTGTGTGTGTGACACGCATTAAATCATAATAATATGATGTTTGAAGCCATGATGAATGAATTCGTCATTTAATGATTGTTTTCTGTATTTCGGTTATTATAAATGAAATAAAGCAGCTGTAGATGAGCTGGTGAAGGTTACGGTCGGTGTCACAGTTTAAAGTCTGCGTGGAATAAAAACATTTTAACCCTTTAAGGTCTCATCCTCAGTTATGTCGTTCCTCTGTTTAACAATGTGAGACATAACATTCACAAAACCTCACTTCTTTGTATTTTATATAAAATCCAATCATTACGTCTTCCTGTGAAACTAAATGTGACATATGCTTACGTCAGCGGAGCTAACTGATTATTGTTCAAACTCCGGCTGCTCTGCCTCAACTCCGCTAACTGCTAATGTAGCTGCTGTTAGCGTGCAACAGAACGGGTTCTGACCGAGGGTAGCTCAACTGTGATTGGAGCACAGAGCAAAAAGGGGCGGGGCTTCAGAAGGCTGCGTCTCTCGCCGTTCACAGATATCAGTTTATGTTTGGGAGAGTCACACCTGCGGGTCCTGGTCTTCATACTGAACTACAACACAAATGAATTTGTGTGAAATGAAAGCAGAATGGGTTCCTCGCTGATTCACTGTAGGTCTGTTTGTTTGAAAGAGGCGATCGGTTCAATATCACGTCTTCTTTCATGCTAAAATTGGCCCCTGGCTGCAGTTGTATAGCTAAAGGCTTTGTACGGTGGCGCACAGTGTAGTGGAGATGTTGCCTTCGGCAGACACAGCTGAGGGGAGTTGTGGGAGTATGCCATAGACAGTGTGAGTGTGGCTTTACCATATCGACACACAGACAAACACTTCAGATACTGTAGTTCACTGCAGTACTGCAAAGTGAAAGTGAAAGCAGCATTAGGAGGTAAAAGAGGACATTGATGGCTCTTAGATTACATAAAAGAGTTGTGGTTTGAAACCCTCTGAAGTTTACAATACATGGAAATATTAATAATATTACATAAATATCCTGTGAATTTACATCTAATGTGAAATAACATGAAAAACTTTTATAATTCAGATTAAAATAAGAAAAATCTAATTATAACAACTGCTGTAAATGTAAGCCTGATTATTTGTATTATAGCAGAGTTAACCTGTATTTATAGCTCATTGGTTTTACAGTGTAAATATCTTTAATTAAACATTAATTATTATTAGAAAATGACTGTATTTTACTGTATTTATGGCGCCTCAGCTACCACAATGTTATCGTTTTAAACTAAAGCACGCCTTTAGTGGAAAACAGAAAACCGAGTGTTGTGGATTTAAAGTTCTTTAAATGAATAGATTATTTATTGAGAGCGGTTTCATCAGCATATCTGTTGAGTCCTGATACTTTTTGTTAGAAATAATCTTCTGAAACCTGTAAAAGTGCTTCACAAACAGAGACAACTCCCACTGAGAACAATGATTCCGGTCTGTGATGAGTAATGCTCTTTATGTCATTCTTATCAACAGCAGCAGCACTGCCGTTTGACTCATTGTGTTTTTATTGTCTGTTAACAGTCCTCATTACCTGAACTGTTGTGATCATTAATAAAACTAAAGAAGGACACCAGTGCACCCTCCATCAAAACTGCTTCCTGTTGTCAGCGAGCAACACAGGACATTAGTCAGAGAGGATTCTGGGAGAGAACAGCTTACGTTCAGGAGCTAAACAGCACTTTCAGTTAGTTTTATTCACAGAAATGAATGAAATGCTGGGATATATGCCTACTGTGTATCTATATTTAAACCAAGATGGCCTCGCAAACCCTAGTGGGGGTTGGGAATCATGGCCTAAAGCCTCGATTTAAATTCACCGTATTGCTTCTGGGTTTTCGTGCAAGAGCCACAGAAACATTCTGTGACACTGAAGCCACTAGTTCAAATCAACATTTAGCCTTTAGCCTATCACACTAGCGTTCTTCAGAAGCGACAAAAGAGCGTTCAACAAGCTGTTAGATGCTAAAAGTGAACACTTTTCCACAGGGAGTTCACGGTGGCACGAGCTGATTCAGCTCACCAATCCCAGTGTTGCACAATTACACAGCAGTCCATTTAACAGGAGCCGCCTCCGCACTTAGCCACGCTGCAAACACGCACATGGCTCCGAGCTGTTAGCCTAACCTGCAGACTAAAATTAGCATCACAAATGAAGATCATCTAGAGACCGCGATGTGCATAATGAGAAAGGAATGAATGGAAACACTGCTTATTTCTCCAACCTGCTCGTTTTATTTTTAGACTCAGCAATTAAAAGTTTAGTCATTCACAGAGAAATGATCCACAGAGGAGGCAACCAGCAGCTACAGTTCACAGTTTCATCTCACACTCACAATAAAATATTCTTGAGCTCCTACAGAATCCAAAGGAAGCAGACGGAAACCATCTTGTTATCACAAATGTCATCCAGCTGCTCCACATACTGTCTGCTGAAGGCTTGTGAAGTACCCAACCAACAGAAAAAACCCATTCATGTTCCTCAGAGCAACACAGCCTCACTCCCAACTCGTCAAACAGCTCCTCTTCGTCAGTGGCCCTGCTTTTTACAATATGACACTGTAGGTTTCCCTCTAGTGTCATTTCTGGACACGCAGGGTATAATGAATCAGGATCTGTCAGTCCCTTCCCTACAATTCCTGATTTCATGGCAGTTTTTTTAATAAAATTCAAAATTCATTCAAAATCAAAGGCAATTTGTTCCAGTGAGAATAATATTGCAGGTCATTGAGAGGAAGAACATTAAATCCAACACCAACAAACCTAAAACACCTAAACACCATGATTGGTTTACCATTTGTTGCCCCGGTGTGTCCCCATAAGACGGACAGGAGAACAGAACCACTCATCCAGTCTGAAGAGAGCTGACACTGATCCTGGTCTCCTGCTGCAGTTGATCCATGAGAGCTGAAACCTCTGAGGATCATAAGCTGCAGCCAACACGCGTCTCACATCTTATAATAACCCATCAGCCATTGATTCCTTATTGTTTGTAGTTGTGAAGTTGTGATGACGTGAATTTCTCTTAACCCTCCAAACAGTAACAAACGAGTAACAATAAGTTTGAAAAGTAAAACTTTCCAGCATCTCGTATTGAACATTAAGTTAATTTTTATCTGTAGCCGAGAATTTATATAAACGTATTTTTTACCCGCAATGTTTTAGAAAAGCTGCTGTGAAATCTGGAATTTTAGGCCTCAACAATCCCGAAAGAAGCCTGTGAGGGACTGAATAATGAATATATGTGGTCTGTGATCAAACTGTTGAACTCTGACACTGAGCTAATTAACGTTAATTCACGAGAGAACAGTTCAGCAATGTGATACCTTGATTTATATTTTATTCTGGCTTTGACATCATTTATTGACTGAGGCAGAACATTAACTGGACTAAAAAGGTCAATGATTAACTCACAGTGTGAATCAAACCTCAAAAGTTTAATCAATCTAACTGTTCTTTCCTCTGGCATTAATTGATTTTAATAATTTATTATTTCTGTTATCATTGTGTCAAAAAGGTCACAGTCTAGTTATCAAATAGAAACATTCATTAATCCACATTGGTTCATGGTCTTGCTATCAGAAGTAATAAAGATCAGTTTATAATAGAAATATTGTAACTTTATATTTATATACTTTATATATATTATTCCTGCCCTCTTTGTTACTGGAGTTTTATGTGTAGCACACCAGTGTATTAACATGTGCATTAGTGTCAAGTTACCAGAAAGGAAGTGGTAAAATGTAAACATAAAGCCACATTGCACATTACATTTCATACAATTTCACCCACAACAGCTCCACAATAACACTAATTTACAGAAGGTCTGTGCTGCATACAGGTCAGAGGTCATTGCTGCATACAGGTCAGTGGTCAGTGCTGCATACAGGTCAGAGGTCAGAGCTGTGTACAGGTCAGTGGTCTGTACTCTTATTTGATTCAAATAACAATAAGAATAATGATATTGTTATATAGAAGGCAGAGATCTGTACTGTCTACTTGCTTCATATAATAGTGACAATAATCATGTTATTTATAGTCCAATAATTTGACACTAATTGTTATCTTCAAACTGATATCTGTTGAACACACGATTCAGTTCTGACTCATCTTCACATGTGAGTCACTTCTTGCTGGGACTCTTTCAGGAGCCTCACACACACTGTGACTGCTGCTTGCAGAGGATTTGGTCTCTATAACTAATTTCCCTGTTTATGACAACTGTACTAAACTCATTTAAAACAGGTGAATTGTAAAAAGTCAGAGTGAGCACTCCGACGTCACTGCGTCATTATCTCTGTGTGTATGCTGAGCACTGAGGAGGCTGTCAGCTAGCTGCTTTGACGATGGATCCATGAGGTTTTTACGAAGACGTGTTTGTGTGCGTCGGTGACCTCCACAGATGTTAGCGTTCATGAATGTGTGTGTTTGTGTTGGTACAGGTGTGTTAAAATGTGTTTAAACCCTCCCACAGGAGTCCCAGCTGCTGTTTGTGTGTCTGCCACTGTGATCCAGGAGGCTCATTCTTCCTCGCTGGCAGTTATTGTAGCAAATTCAGTGTCAATTGATGAGCTCCCCGGGGTGAATGGGTCTGCGGGGGGGTTCGGGGACTCATGGCCCCCAGAGCGGTTTATTTCTACCCACTCATCACCAGAAGCACCGAGAGAGAGTAATAAAAGAGACGAAGAGGAGGCAGGATGAGGAGGAAGAACAAAGAAAGAAAGGACTAGAAATGATGAGGAAGAGAAGAAGGAGGAAAAGAAGAGTAAAGATCTTTTTTTCATCTTCTGCTTAAACAAGCAACAACATGAATATCTGACAGAGAAGAAGAAGAAGATTGAATTAAGGATTTATTTCCACCAGAGTTGCTGATTGTAGGAAAGACGAGACGAGACGGTTCTGATGAGTTTTAGTTAGTTTCTGTCAGTGTGGTTTACAGTTATCTCCTCAAAATCACTGGTATTGTGACTGTAGTGTCTGTTAGCAGGTTATCATGACCTGAGACCTGTTAGCTTTAGTCTCAGTCTGTTATATCATGTAGCTATCAGTTACGTGTTCATTTTACAGGATTCTCATTTTAAAACAACTTTGTAGAGTCCCGTTTTGAAGCCTCCAGTTTGGCGTTATGGTCGTCACCATGACAGTGTGAGGTTTGGAAACAATGGCGTCTCTCCTGCTCACACAGGAGGGGTTTATTTTGGTGTTAGTATATAATTGTTATTCATTAAATACTGTAAAGCTGCTGGATAACTATTTTACTGTTGTATATTTCTTACTACTTGCTCATACTTTGTGCTGCAGCAGCTCGGCTGTGGGAAAACATTTTAGCTCAGAGTTACAGAGTGAGATTGTCTTTCCAACTTATTGGTTTTCTTGTGCTGACAGCAGAGAAAAAACGAGCAGCAACTGAGTTTTCATTTTTCATTGGTCTCGTGGGGCGCGGTGCTAGCAGCAGTTCAGAGCTGTGTTTGAGACAGCTTAACATTACCTGTGCTAGTTTGAGGTCCCATGTGACAGACCCAGGTTTGGATCTCTTTGATCGCAATATAACAACTGTAAACTAGCAGGAAAGTCTCTCAGATGGCTCAGCCGTGACACTCAGAAGACTCTTAGTGGTTTCCTAGTACTAGTTGAATCTGTACATTATTAGATAATAATACACAAAACACATATTATCTGCGTATTTGTAACATCATGAATTTACAGAATTACAACAGACTTTTTATTTGTGCCCATCATTCCAGTAAATATATAGGGGTGTGCATCTCTCCAATAAAAGACGATTCGAGTGCGTATCTCGATACATGGGTAACGATACGATTCAGGAACGATTATCATTTTAAAATGGATACGATCGATTCAGTTTCGATTCAGAAGGATTTCGATTCGATTCGATTTTGATGTGGCACAGTCAAGTTCCAGAGGGTACGATGCAAATGGATTTCTTGTTTGAAAGTAGGAACAAGTCATATTCATAAAATGAATTAACTTGTAAATGGGGCATTTTTCCTTCAAAAAGATTTATTCCAAAATGACTAGAGATAAATGTTATTTTGTAGTTTTGTCCTATGTTTTTTAGCATGTAACAAACAACGTAAGAGCCTCCAACGTTTAATTACATTTCAAGAGAAAACAAACGAGAGAGATATGTGTGCCTCAGATGTGCTAGCCTCCTCCTCGCTGTTTCCCCATGTCGTCTCACCGAGGTGAATGGTGTGGAGATTTGTGTCGTACCTACCGAGTACTTTATCTCGCAGTTTTACAGTCCTTTGCATATATCTTATCTCGCTTTTTATCCATGTACTTCCATTCTTTCACACTTTATATGATCTTTAAACTTGCCGGACTGTATGTTCAACCCCTTGCCCGAAGTCATCCATGATTTTTAACTGTTCCCTCACAACTCACAAGCGGCTATCTGAAGCGTAATGCGACAGAGTCTTGAGTAGAGGTTTTAAGGGAGGGAGCGATGGATGACGAGGTCAGATAGAGTAGATTGCAGTTTTTTCAAGCAGCTGTCTTGCTGCCCATCTAGTCAGCTATAAAACCCGATTTATAACTTTTTAATCGGTGCAGTCGGCCGATTTTCAAGCTACATTAAGACTGATTTTATTAGTCCGTGTACCAGATTGCAACTCCACTTATCTTTTAAATCAAAATTCGATTTTCCGATTTCAAATCGACCCCCTTAGTAAATTATAAGCATCTTGTCCCTTGCTATTTTCGTTAAAATTCTTCACGGAAATTTCATGGATATATAAAATACGATAGTATTGAAAAGACGAACAAACTGAACGGATGAAAAAACTAAACAAACATTAGTTAATTCAAAGAAAAATCTACTAAAAAAACACAGAAATCTGCCGTTTTCTAATATTGTTTGGCTCTTTTTTTGACTGGCTAGTACCAGTGACCAATCTACATCTCATATTTTAGTCGCAACCTTTTTTATTAATTAAAATACCCTTAATTTAGTCCGCCAGGATGATTCTGCATGAAGCTAACTGACCAGTATTTTACTTTCCTTGGACCTTCTGTGTTGGACTCCTGTGTTGTGGACTCTGTGTTGGACTCTGTGTTTGTGGACTCTGGTGTTTGGACTCTGTGTTGGAGCTCCTGGTGTTGGTGGACATCTGTGTTGGACTCCTGTGTTTGACTCTGTGTTGTTGGAGAGAGATAGGCTCTGGAGCATATAAGGTCACGACCTTGCTGACCTCCAATCCCTACTAGTAGAAACACATAGAAATCAGTCCACCAGGCAGCAGAGGAACAAAGCTTAACACCAAATAATACCTGTTCACTGTCTGCTCACG